CTAACTGTTCACCTGAGGTCTCAGAAACGGCGTTTCGGGGTACTTGGCACTTGATCTTACTCCCTCCGAATTTGAGAGTAAACGAATCAGCTACTTCTTTAGACGTGGCCAGAATGTCCGGTCCTTTGAACAAAGACTCTAACAGATGGTTAGTTAGCCAGTCAATTTCCATGTCCTCTAGGTCATCCGGCTGCATTTCCGGTGACCCAAGTCCGCCTTCCCCCTCATCATCTGTGGGTTCCACGTAAGACGGAACATCATTCAGAGGATCAGGATCATCTGGTACCATCTCTTCATCTTCGTTTTCAAACCCCGGGTCAGGGTCTTCTGACTTCACCGGATCAGGTGGTGGCTCAAACATGATGGGCCTTTCAGGATCCGCTGGGTCTAAAACGAGAGGCTGTGAAGTAGACAGAGCGTGTATGGCCCCTACGTCGTAGACAGGCTCACCTTTCGCTCCTTCTAAGGCCCTACAGACAGGAAAGACATCGATCTCAGTCTGACCCAATGGAGCAGCAAAGATACCGCCCCCTCTAGGTTCTTTAGGCCCTAGATACACAGCTTTCACTGTTTTCTTTCCCCTGTACTTCTGTTGATGCGCTTTTGAGCCCCCTACTTTAGCGTAGACAAGACATCCAAACGGCAGGGTCCTCGTACGATGCACAATCTCCTCGTGCAGCCGGTCAATGGGCGTAGTCACGTCCTGGTGACTAAAGCTCCAGAGGTTGTAGCACCTGGCACTGTAAAGGACACAAGCTTGCCAGAGCATTCCTCCCAGCGGAAGCTTCTTGTTCCAGTCTTCCGGCGCGGAATTCCGCGCAACTTCTCTCTCCAAGTCTAACCACACTGCCCAAAATCCCTGCTTCATAGTTTCTACTTGTCTTTCAATAGCGCCTTTTGACTGAGGGCGATACCCGGGCACGACGTCCACAATGACGCCAGAAACAGCTACATCACCTGTACGGGTAGTCAATTTTTCGGCTAAAGACATCAAAGCCGACTCCTGATCACATCTCACTGTGACCATTTTATTCACAAGACCCATTTCGCGAATCACTCGTCCAATGTTGTAAAACAGATCCGGATCATCCAAATTCATGGCCGGAATGGCCGTGGTATAGTTCGAAGAACAATGTGCAAGAAGCAGCACACGAAGACGACCAAAGTAGTAGAAATCCATTCCAATCGTCTGGTCCTCGCGTTGCAAACGCCTTCGCAAGCGTCTCGCAGGAACCTTCCCTTTACTCGAGGTGCAGGCCTCACAGTTCACATCATAAGGAAAATGACCTCTGGATCTATGCACTTGCAAAGCCACACTTCGCAGAGGTATCCTATCTGAAACTTCTGCACCTCCAGGCGGTTCCGGGGGTTTCGGTGGTTCAACCCCTTGAGGTTTCGGAAGCGGACTCTCTTTCCCTCCTCTCTCTTCTCTCTCTGAAGAACGTGGCATGTCACTGTCGAGTTCTAAGGGCTCAGCTTGCGTCCCCTTACCGGGGAGGGGCAGTCCCCGCACAACTCTCAAGTGGCTGTGCTCAGAATTGGATCTGCTCCCTTTTCCATCATCGCCCTTTCTTCTCAACAAACAACAACCACACACACCCCAAGCACAACACCATGCCATGCACACCAACAAGCTCCACAAGTTCCTGTCGAGACAAAGGCCCAAGCACATGGCCTTACATGCGAACTTCAAAGAGGCTTTAAAACCTGAGCTCCAAGTTGGTTTCACTACGTGCCTGCTAAAGACCAGAGTACGTTCTACATCAACTCGAACATAACAGAAACGAGTCTTGATTCGCACTCGGACTCCTTGACGACGATGGTGTAAACGGTACTTTCGGGATACAAGTTGAGGGTAGTCACCAACTCCTCGAAACCTTTTCAAACACATCTTCAAGAATCGAAACCCTAACCAGAACGAACCCCCCAAGAGGCTTGCTATCACATAGATCGCCAAGCAAGCGAAAACATCCAATGCTTCTCCTGGCATGCAAAACAAAGCACTCCTGGCCGGCAGGGGTCTGTCATGACTCATGTTCAGGAGGTTTGGGTTCGTGACGTTTCTGAGGTTCACACTTGAGGGTATTTCGGATCTTTGAGGGTACTGCTCAGAAGATCGACGTTCTTTCGGGCTAGTTAAACGCGGACTTGAGGGTATTTCGGATCTTTGAGGGTACTGCTTAGAAGATCGAAGTTCTTTTGGGCTTCTCTTCAAGGGACCTTCAAGCTCGCACACTCCTAACCAAGCAAGTCTCACACAGCAACATGTCTGTTCAACTGCTTCACTCATGCTTCTTTCCAAGTCCAAACAAGCCTGAAAGACACTGTGTTTTTCCAACGCGCAAGACATTGCGATCGGCGCGTTCAGAAACAATTCCACAAAAGGAAGAATTCCGCACAGCCTTTAAGGCCTTCACTTCTTCTGGCAAGGGGAAGGAAGCACAAACTCCCTCTCTTCGGCTGTTTGACCCAAGCCGCCCGGAGGCGGAAGGGCACCCGCTGCGGATGATGTAGCGGTCTCGGAGGTAGGCCCTTCCTCCGCTGTCACGGTTGCGGGCTCTGGAACTGCAGGCAAAGACTCTACAGCCACTGGCGCTTCTGGAACCGTCAAAGGCGAGGAGGTTGGAACCACAGACCAGGCCTTCGGTGTAGCCCCCGCTGGTGCCCCTTGGGCTTTCGACAGAGCACCTGGAATTTCCCCAGGAGCTGCCTTCGGGACATAACCGGGACCTGGAATTTCCCCTGGAGGAGGGGTCTCCGGCACACTCTCCGTTGCGGAAATTGGAGCTCCAACCGGTGCCGTGGGTCCTGGAGTTTCTGGGGCCCGCTCCTTTTCCACCACCATAGGCTCCACACTGTGGTCCGAGGGACCAGAAGAAGCAACAGGTGGGACATCCAAGAACTTGAATGACTCCAAAGGGGCCAATGAAACTGCGGAAGGCGAAGGAGGTACCGGCGTTGATGGAGCTGCAGTGTCCCCCAGAGGGGCTCCTAGAGATGCTGGATCGAACTTGTACCCCGCAGTGTCCGTCGCGACCGGCGATGGCTCCATAATGATAGGAGACGGTGGGGGCGGCGCAGAGGAGCCCACATCTTTCAAGGCTTTCTCCGCTTCGATGAGCGCCAAAACTCTGGTCCGGCTCTGCATCATGTATTCCCCCATTGGAATCGATTCGTCCGACGAACTTGCCGAGGATGACTCTGCAGACTCTGTCTCCGAGAATTCGTTCATGGCTCCAGTCTCCGAGCCTTCGTCCATCGCTCCAATTCCACCTCCAGTATCTGTGGAAGCAGCTGCAGCCGTCCTTCTGGCCTTGACCTTGGGTCGAGCGGACTGCAAGTCCTCCCATTTTCGGACCTCTGCTTCGAACTCGATATAGCGCCGGGTGCGCTGATCCATTGCCTCCATTAACGCACGCCACCCATGCCTGATGGCTGAGCCTGGCACCCACTCGAGCTGGAGCTCGACGTCGTCTGGGTACATTCCAGCCAAAAGGTTGCGTTCCGCTTCCGGCATGGCCTCGTAAACGGTCAGGACCTTGAGGATACGCTTGATGTAACCCAGCGCAGCCACGTCCCCGCCACTCTGGTGGCGTAGGTGACTTGGATCGGGAGTATATCCTTCGATAGCAGCACGCGCGTCCCTTGCACGCACGCCGCGTTGATGAAGAGTGCGGCCTTGACCCGCGAGTTCGAACCTTGTAGTATGCTCGTCCAACAACTCGTCGGTGAGCTGGGAAAAATCCCTCTTTCTCTTCACCGGAAGGATGCCTCCATGATCCGGGGCTTCCGGAAACTCGGGCAGCCACAGCAACCTCCGCGCTGATGTAGGGCGTTCCATCCAGAGGATCGGGATCGTGATCGCGAAGCCTCTTGGACCAACCCGTTCCCAGGCACGGCCCCACATTTGGGTCTGGACGTTGGATCCGCCCAAGGAGCTTCTGCCCAACCTCGAGGAGGTACCCGTCGGTCATCAAAGCATCTGTCAATGACGCAAAGATGGTCCCCTGGCGGGAAGAATAAACGAGCCCATCTCCGATAGACATAAGTGGAACTGCAGGTTCCAGGTCGTTCTCTGGAATGGCCGGCACAGGGTATCCACATGCAATAAGATCTTCTCTCTGTTGTCGTATCGCTTGCATAAAATACCTGTAGCGCGGCCCCCTCAGCATGCTTCTCCACTTCACTATCAGCGGCGGCTCGGCTGATGGCTGCGAAGGCCTGGCCTTGCTTGCCCTCCATTTTCCCCATGCTTCCTCCTCTTCTGTCTCTCCTGTCTCTGATGCAGCCACCGTAGGCGAAGGTACTGCAACTTGACTCGGAGGCCTCGAGAAAACATTGAAGGGGGCAGCTGAAGCCTCTGCATCCGCAGTCTCGGCTGGCGCCGCCTCTGCTGGTGCAGGCTCTACTGGTGCATTCAAAAACACAACCTCCTGCCCGGCACTCTCCGCTGGAGAGTTGTGGGAATCTTGCTCCACCTCCATTGGCGGTTCCGACATGCTCAGTACCTTCCCTCAGGGAAAACCAAGACACGCAAACAAGCAAAATGGCTGCGGACAAACATGCGCACTTCAAGCCTTTTGAGGTCCTTTTGGGCTTCCTAACGCACAACATGCCTGGCTCGGTTGCTTTGGGGCACTCACTTCCTTTAAGGGTACACCTCAAACCTTCACTGCCGAAGATCAGAAGCGAAAAGCCTTTCAAACACAACCCCTTCACAAGACATGCCAGCAAAAACATCACGTTCCAAACTGCGCACACATGCCGCTGCCAAAAATCATGTTGCTGTCTGACAAAAACATGGCATTTCCTAACAGAATCATGAAGTTTCCTAACCAGACTTTCGGAACACAGGCTCCTATCACCACTCAGGACAGGCGTTTTCCTAGTACAGATCATGTCGTGCGGTTTCCTACCGGCGTGTTCTTCAGGAATTTCCAGGGACCTACTCCTAACTTCAGCCCTCAAACCGCGCAACATGAACTCAAACGGCGTCCCCGTCAAGACATGGCGGACTTCTCGTCCTTTCCAGGCTTCTCATCACTCTTCACTTCTTTCGAAGTCTTCTTCAGGATGCTTGGTCCTGCAGTAATGTCTTTCCTGGGTTCCTTGTCGACAGGAAGAGAGTCGATCTCCATGTCCGATCCCTTGGATGGGCGTTTAGGAGCTTTCCGCTAATCGCCCACCAGGCCCGTTTCGCCCCAACCAGGCGGACATTCTTCTTTCCACCCTTGTAAATGCGAGACCCGGTGCGCGCAAGGTGCGTCTTCCAGCCCCGTTCCGACGCGGACCACGGAGATACCACATTGAAAGGCACGTCCGCCACAAGGACGTCCTCCAACGTCAACGAAACGTCGCCGAAACGAACTTCCAGATCAACGACATTCGATACGTTTATGATGTCTCCTGAGGCACTATAGAGCGTCACCGTGCGATCATGGTACTTGCAGACACGAAATCCTGACAGATGATCTGCTGAGACGATGTGGCATGTGGCTCCACTATCGACCAGCCACACATCACGATGCTCTACCTGCAGCGAAGCGCAGACGTATGCCGCATCTCCCTTCGAGGTGCTTCCAGTCAGGGTGCCTACCTTCTCATCTACAGTGCCTTTCGGCCCTACAGCGACCGGTCTAGGGACTGCCTCTACGGGCTTAGGCTTCTCAGGCTCAGGCTGGCTCAGTACTTCTCGTACAGCAGAAGGCTTGGCAAACCTCATCGCCATCACGGTGGAGGTCCTCGAAGACTCGGACTCTGCCTCGGACTCTGGTTCTCCCATAGCCCGGGCTCTAGCCTTCTTCTTCTTCTTGCCTTTGCCCTTGCCTTTATCAGGCTTGTCGGGCTTCTGCTCCTTGTCTTTGCCGCCTTTGCCGCCTTTCGGCGTTGGAGAGCGTGGCTTTCCTTTGGGATTCTGCGCTCCCTTGCCATCGCCCTTCTTGCCCTTGTCGCCCTTCTTGCCCTTTTCACCGGCTTCACGCTGACGGCTCCAGCAGTCCTTAGCCAAGTGTCCCTTTCGTCCACAGTGGTCACAAAGCTTGTCACCCTTTCCCGACATCTGCCGATTTGAGGAAAAAGGACCCTCACACAGACGAAGCTGCTCCTCATAGTACCGAAGGCTATCGCTCAGCGATGTCCAGTCGTTGCTCTTTCCATGAAGAACGACGTACTGTCTGAGCTCCTGGCTCAGAGCTTGCAGCAAAACACTGCAGCGGTCAGCCTCCGTGAGACGCAACTCTGGAAAGTTCCCAAGCTTGGATTCGGCACGAGAAAACTCGTCCTCCAAGTGACGGATGAGGTCTGTCGGCCGTCGGTGATGCTGGCACGTAGTCGCCAACTTGAGGCACTGCTCCCGCACGTAGACAGCTTCCATGCGAGACACAATGCTGTATTGCTGCGTGATGGTCCTCACCGCCTCGTATCCGCATGCACTCAAAGACTGCCTTTTCGAGCACGAGCGTAGCAACTCCTGACCTCTTTCCCAACGTGAGAGAGATTGGGTGAGATAGTAGTAAAGCTTCGCGCTTCGAGCAGCAACATCATCCGCCAAATCCTTCTGAAGGATCTCATTCTTTTGCTTGACGCAGAGTTGCAACTCTCGAACGAAAGACTCATCTTGAAGAGCAAGCCACGATGACAGTGTCTCCAAGTAGGCATGCCACGTCTCGACTTCTCGCATCCTGCCCTTGTTCATGCCTTGATGCTCTAGCATCGGCAGAGATGGAAGGTACTTCTCCGCCCTATTCTGCACCAATGGGCTCCGAACAGAGCTCGAAGACGAGGTAGCTCCTGCAAAAGGCACAGAAGGTGTGCTCGGCGCAGCTGCAAACGGGTCTTCCGTCTTGGCTCTAGCTGCAGCCTCCGCAACCAAACGTGCGGTCTCCGCTGCCTTCTCTTCAGCCTCATTTCGACGCTTCTCTTCCAAATCCATTCTTCTCATGAGGGCAGCTATCAACTGCTGGTTCTGCTGGTTGGCCTGACTTTGCTGCCTTAGCATCTCCAAGAAGATGGCTTGGAAGTTGCCTTCACCAAGGCCATTTCCAGCTTGTACTCCACCCACTTGGCTTCCAGCAGGCGAAGCATGAGCTTGAGCTGGAGTTGCCGGAGGCGACGCGAAAGGGTTCGCTCCTCCAGCAGGTGCTGTCGGCTGTCCTTGAGACCCAAACAGCAAAGCCTCTTCCTCAGGGCTCACATCAGGTACTGGCACTGTAGACGCGTCCGGAACTTGGGCCATGGCTTTTCCTGGAACGTCTTTTCAGGACGCTCCGCTACCATGTGAAAAGCAGAGCTTTAGCGCAGACTGCTTTTTCCGTTCGCACTTGAGCCAAACACGTCAGTGTTCAGCTGCACTGTCTTTAGTCAGCAAAGGTGCTCTCTCCAAGAGCAAAGGCTTCAAGTCTTCAAACGACATCTCAACTTTGTTTAGACAAAGGAGAATGCAAAAGTAACATGCAAAACATCTTGGTTACTGCTTCAGGACTTCAGGTCTGTTGCAAAACATATAGCATGCTCTCAGAATGCCTCAGTCGAGTGTCAAACGGTCACGACACGGTACGAACGACGGGGCAAGGCACACGGAGTGAGTAACGGCCAAAGTCTGTTCCTCAGAGCTTTGCTTCAGCACTTCCAGATGACTCTCAGGTCAACTCCCGAGAGCTAAAAGCCTCTCTGTGCTTCCCAAAACTCATCCTCGGACTTGCAAACCAAAACATGTCAAGTCAAAGCACCTTCATGTCATGCAAACATGCTCATGCCAAAACAAAACATGTTCTTGCCATGTCACACCACTCATGTCCCACACATGTACCTGCAAGCAACTAGGCAAACAAGGAAATGTCATATTTTCACAAGCATGCCTTGCCCTACAACGAGAAGCTGCTTCACGGACTGACCAAGGGGCAAGCACGTGACGCTGCAAAGTGGACTGTGTGCGAGGCCATAGACTGCCACAGTGGCCTCTGCCTGCGGGTGAGGAGAGTCCATTTGGGCAGGCCAATGATGCTCATGAGCAAGTCGCCCGCCCAGAAGCTGTCTTGCAGGAGTTTGATTGGCAAAGTCAGCCGTAAACGGTGAACGCAGTCGGAGGAAACGGAGACTCGCGAGTGGGAAGTCTCCAACTGCATGGACGTTGTTAGTGCATTCGTCAAGAGGCCTCCAAAGAACGCTCCGGCGTGTTCCCCCGTGGGAATCGCAAAGAAGGGTCTCCTCAGACCTTCCGAGAGAAGTCGGAACCAGTGCGAATTAACTGATGCAAGACATAAGGCCACAGACTGGATCGCCAATTGGCGCCAATGAAGCATGTGCCAATGAAACTAGGCCGCCCGAGACCTGGCCGATCTTTATTTTTTGGCTTCTGCTCCAACTGGAAGGCATCAGCGGCATTTTCAGTGCCATGAACACTCTGCAATGGCAGGGCAAGAACAACCTTGATGTTGCAGAGATCCACAAGAAGGCGTTGCGCGACTGATGATGTCAGTCGTTGCACAGGGTCCTCTCCACCTCCGCAAAGAGGAATTCGAGGGTCATTGCCCAGGACCAGTGTCAAGGCCACGGGGAACAGATCCAAGGACAGAGCTTGCGGCAGAGCAAGAGCACGGGCGCACTCAAGCTGCCTTGGGTCGCTGTCAAGGCAATCTTCCTCTGTTTGACATGCTCAAGTTTAGCCGCAAGGCAACGAGTCGTTTCGTGTGGCGGCAGGAAAGTGACGTTGCGGGGCAGCCTCAGACTCCCATGAGCCAAAGCACTCGCCAGTGTGAGCCAAAAGGCGGCAAGGAGGCGTTACCAGTGCAGCAAAGCCAGCCGTCCTGGCATCAAAGTAGGCTGTGGGAGGCGGAGACCAATCTTAACAGGTGACCTTCGAAGGTGAGGCACTTGTGCTTAAGAAATCCTCATGGAACGCTGTTTGGATTTTGGTGCACGTGTCTGCAACAAAGCCCTGTTCATTGCAAAGTACGAAAGCCCGACTTTCAAGGTAACCACTCCGTTGCCGCATGTGTTGCACAATTAGTATTTGCAGCATTAGCACCGGCAGCATTGGATCGATTGTGAGATTGAAAGGGAGCATCCCATCAGGCGGATTGATGACACAGAGGCGCCTACTAAAGTAAGACCCTACTAGGACCGGATGCGCCTCTACCATGTGTTCAAAGGAGGGAAAGGCAACAGCAATAAGGAGCGTGCCAACAGGCCAATCAATAAGAAAGCTGACTAGAGGGACAGCAAAAGTCAGTCCCTGGACAACTACTTGGATTTGCACCAGATTGAGATCAAGTCGGAAGGCCATGTCTTTCCAGAAGCAGTTCAGCGCCTAGTTGGGTAGAGTCGAGGAGGTACCACTCTCCGAGCAACACATGGTGCACTTGAGCACACATCCAAACTTAAGTCCAACTTCAACAAGGACGAAGGTGGCGATTTGGCCAACGAAAGCACAGGTTGCACCAAGACCCTGTTCGTGAAAGGCGCAGGCCGTTTGGGTGGTGAACTGGAACTCTTCACTCGTCGCACCGGTGCCATTCTTAGCTGGAAGGGGCCCAGAGGCTCTGAGGCGTTTAAGAACGCCAGGCCAAAAACCATGATGGGTGGCACGAGCAAGCAGGGTGGAAGGTGACCTTTGGTATGCAAGAAGAGGTGCATGAAGACGGAAGCAGGCAGACAGGACAGCGAGCTCAACCGAAGAAAGAATACCTCGTAGCTGCCCAGGGTGGTAGTGGCAATTCTGCAAGATGCATGCAATGTTACCGAGAGTGCAATTAAATACGCCAGATGTGGCCAGCAAGCACATTATGCCACGCCACACTCACCGAACCCATAGCGCGCAGAGTTTGCAACCCCATTGCTGCCACTCAAGGCATTCGCATCCATCTATCTTCCTGAACTGGAGGGCAAGTCCCTTGGACCAACAGCGGTGGATAAGCTGGAGAGCAGCCCCAACTTTACATCGGCATCCAAGTGTGCACGAATGGAGACCGTGCCAGCCAGCTGCATCATGCAAAAGGCGACACTGGTCTTCACGATGCAGAATTTGTTGTCATGCGAAAAGAAGCAGGGCGAAGTGTGGATGGAAGAGCCAAGAATCTTTCTCAGATGATCCGGCGCCAAATCCAGACAGAAGGCCATTGCGCGGGTTAAGGGTCAGTGCTCCCATAACGAGCGCTTGAGCAAAATAACTGCCACGCATGTGCCAACTATATTCGGATGGGAAGGGGTAGGTGATCACAATGTTCGCAGTGATCAATCAACGAAGCAAATAACAGAGGAGCACGTAAAGGTACAAGTACCAGAAGCGGCAATAAAGCCACCGAGCACAAAGCACAAGGGGCAACCACACCCTCACTCAGTGGACACATTGGCACATAGCTCCACTGTCTGCGAACAGATGGCCAAAGTGAGGTGAGTCCAGCCAAAGGCATTAAAGCCAATAACGTGAGAAACAAGGTCTGACTACCACGGCCAAAAGAAGTGATAGGGGAATTGTTCACACTCACACAGTTCACGGGCAATGACTGTTGCTCTTGGCGTTAAGACCTGGAGCAATGCATCAACCCTACCCCATCCAGTTTTGTGCCCGATTAAAGCTCCGACAACTCGTGAAGACCACTTGGGGGTCAAAGAAAAGTGCTCCGAAAGTGATTGGGCAAGCGCACGTTCTCCAACGCACGAGATGGCGCGGAGATTTGGTGTACTTATTTTCCATTCCATTGACACGGTAGCGCGAGGTTGAGTGGCAGCGTCCAGCCTTGCAATGACTTCAATGAGAGTCCATGCAAGTAGGAGTCTTTCCTCATCCAGATCTTCGACAATCTCGTGAATGATCTGTGGATTACCGAAGGAGACGCCTCGATATAAACGATCCTTATGGTACGGGGAAAGGGCTTCGTTCGACTTGCTTTCCTCTAAGAGAGCCACGAGGATCACTCCCGCTGCAGCAGGGAGGACTGTGAGTTCGAAGTCAGCTGTGCTGGAATGACTACCAATGGCTTCATGGTAACGCCAAGCCAGGAGGCAGCGTGTGGCGGCCAGCATGTTTGGTTGTGCCCGGGCGTTCACAACTGGTCTGAGCCAAAGGTGCCGCCATCATGAAAGAGGGAGGGTGGTTGAAATGGGGACTACACGCATCACAACGAGGGGGGTGTTACCCACAATCCCCTACGCGGAACAGCTGTAACATCAACGCGTCTCCTTTTATCGTCTCTTTGCCTCTCGACCTCTAGTATATCCTGAACTTCCAGGATAAGGCGCTTGGACACCCTGTTGGTGGTTGCCTTTGGGTGCTTTGGGAGAGCAGGGTTATGACACGTGATACCCGCAGCATTTAACGCATCAACTGCCGCATTAAATTCACTCTTCGTGGTGGTAATAGCAAAGACATCTTGTAGATTAGCAAATTCCTGGTTAGGTGTGACCTGTGGATGACAGTGCTGCCCCACCTGGATGAGCTGAACCAACGCTTCAGTAGCCCCTTCGATGAAGGGTGAAACTGCGTTTCTATTTTTGACGTACACCCCGTCATGTACCCAAAGCACTGTGCCTGCGCAGTACGGGAGCATTGCAGCGAGCCCTTTTCGCATTACGAAGCTTTCCGCAGCTTCAAGTGCAAAAGTTGCCCAATTCCTGTTGTTGACCCTTGCATCCGGTTGGTAAAATGGGATTCCTTGCTGGATCATAACCTGGAGGGTAGCTTTAGCCTGCACCAAATGTGCAAGAAAACTTGCCAAGGCAGGGGGGATGGCATAAGCAGCAATACTACCTTCATAAACATGCCGAAGGAAAGCATTGCTGTCCATTCCAACTGCTCTTTGCAACAAGTGCTTGGTTTGTACTGTTTGTGCTTTGGGCGCGCGTGCAAGGTGACTACTAAATAGCTCCCTGGCTTCAAGCAACGTTGGGAGGGGTGGGTGAGTAGGGCTGTGACATGTAAGGAGGCGCAAAAGCGTATAATGCGCACCTTTCATGTCGATTTCAATTGCGTTCGGTCCGATGGCCAAGAAACGTGTTAGCCTTTTACTCGTTTGCCAGTGCCGTATGGCATAATATCTACCCTGTGGGTGCAAAGATGGCCTTCGATACTGGACCAGCCCTGGCCACGTTGTATCAAGCTCGGGGGGAGGCTTGATCCGATTGTAGAGGCAAAACCGCAAAAGCAGTTCCGGATTCCAAAGTGGGGGGGCCTCAAGAGAAATAGTTTCAGCTCCGGAATGCAAGTCCTGTATAGCTTGCAGGTGCCATTGCTTGGAA